GCCTTGGCCAGGGTTCTGGTGTCTGCACAGAAGACCCAGCCCCTACCACGGCAGGGTGTTCCTCATGGCAAGGCTTGCGGTCAGCATTGAGGAATCTGGGGCACTGGCTCCACCAAGCTTCAGCCCTGACCTGACGTTCACCCAGGACTACTACCATAGGCAAAAGAAAAAAACCTTTCACAGGCCAGGTTGGAAACTGAATTCATGCCACAGGCCACATGCCAGCCTTCTTGCCACCAGTATGTCCCTCTCCTTTCTCTTTTGCATCTATTAACCAGCATATGCTCTAAACGTTTCTTTCTTCATACCACTCCTCTGCTCAAGAACCATCCATGGATCCCACTTACCCATCAGATCAAATCTGAGCCCCACCATAGGAATTCAAGGAACTCCAGGACCAAGCTCCAGCCTCCCTCTCTGACTTCATCCACCAGCCCTTCAGCTGGCCAGTCTCCTCTATATTCTAGAAGTTTCTTCCTCCTTCCTCCTATGGGGCTTGGCCTATCCCATGCCCTCTGCCTGAGATACCCTTGTCCCTTCCTTCTCTTGCTTAAATCCTGGCTTGCAACACCCACCTTCTCTGGGTCACCTTCCAACTGTTCCAGGTCTTAATAACCCATTTACAAACAAAAGATTAAGTCCTTGTGTACTTTAGAATCATCTGGCTTGTTTATTCAAAATTCAGACCATCCCAGACCTCTCCGGAGGTGGCTCAAGGACACCAGGCTTTTGAAACTTCCCAGGAAAGTCTGATGCTGCAAGCCCAGCCTGATCTGTCGACCTACACTTGGGAGGTGCTGATAATCCAGTGCTTGGGGGATCCCTGGGTGGCGCAGCGGTTTGGCGCCTGCCTTTGGCCCAGGGCGCGATCCTGGAGACCCGGGATCGAATCCCACGTCGTGCTCCCGGTGCATGGAGCCTGCTTCTCCCTCTGCCTGTGTCTCTGCCTCTCTCTCTCTCTCTGTGTGACTATCATAAAAAAAAAAAAAAAAAATCCAGTGCTTGGATAGCAGCTCCAAGTCCACACTGGTCGTTGGTGTCCACACATCATATACATCCTCCTCGTCTCTGCAAGCAGTGATGATCATGATAACTGCCATCTGCTGAGGGCTCCCCAGGCACCAGACACACGCCGAGCACCCCATATCCACCATCTCAACTGATCTTCATGATGTGCTGTTACGTGGACATTATTATTATTATTATTTTAAAGCTTTTATTTATTTATTTCTGAGACACGCAGAGAGAGAGACAGAGACACAGGCAGAGGGAGAAGCAGGCTCCTTGCAGGGAGCCCGATGTGGGACTTGATCCTGGATCCCAGGACCATGCCCTGCGCCAAAGGCAGGTGCTCAACCGCTGAGCCACCCAGTTGTCCCAGGTAGCGATTATTAACTTCATTTTACTGATAAGGAAACTGAGGACCAGAGAGGGTAAGGCTCTCAGCCAGAGTCACAGAGCTTGCCAGGTCTTAAAATCAGGCTGATGATGCCCAAGCCAGCGCTCCTCACCCCTAGGCCAGCGAGCCTTCAGAATGGGCACCTGGATCAGTTCAATTCGGGTAAATTCCATTCTGTTTTAACACCACTACTGCCACTTGCTTTTGCTAAGTCCTGGGGACAGAAACATGGTTAGCCAGAGGCCCCTGTCCTCGGAGGACCTCCCCATCTAGCCGGGGAGACTGGCACATGCATAGCCAGTCACATAAGGAGCACTGGGACAAGAGCAGGGTGCCCTGTTTGGGAAGGATGCCGGGGAAAAAGTGGGGTGGGGATGGGTCCCGTCCTGGGAGGGGAGAGAAGGCCAGTTCAGGCCTCAGAGTGGAATTTGAGGCAGCCCTTGAGGGATGGTAGAGAAGGGGATGAGGGGCTTCGGGCAGAGGGAACAGCCTGAGTGCAGGCAGCGTGGTGTGAAGGGTCATGTTCCCAGGCCCTGCTGCGCCGGGGGCGGCGGTGAACAAATCGGCCGTTAAGGGCAGTTGGGGCAGATCACCAAGGGCCTCAAACACCAGGGTGAGGAATCTGGCCTCATGCTGAGGGCAATAGGGAGTCATGGAAGGTGTGGGAGCAGGGGTGTGTCTGCCCTCAGCGCGAGCACAGGGAAGGGCACAGGTAGGTGGGTGCTCAAGGGAAGCCCGATGCCTGCCTCAGCCCTTCTCTGGGAGGATGGGCAAATTCCTCAACTTCTCTGAGCCCGTTTGCTCATCAGTAAAAGAGGGACAACACACCAACCTTGCAGGTTTTGAGGTTCAAATGAGATCAGGCGAGCAGAGCCTGGCAGGGGCATTATATGTGTGGACCCGGTGGCAGAAAGGAAAGAGCACAGGCTGCGGGGCCTTCCATTTGAATCCTAGCTCAGCCCCCCAAGGACTGCCAGTCTCTCAGGGCCAGAGGGAGAATTCAACTCAGAGCTAATAGACATAGGGCCCCTGACACCCCGCAGATGCTCAGTAGGCCTGGTCCGGCCTGCACCGGCCATCCTGCCCCCCTCCTTGCTCCTGGAACACCAGCAGTCTGGCTCCCCTTCTTCCTGCTCCCGTGGGAGGCTCCTCTACTACAGGCCTCGGCTCCCTGCCACTTGCTCAACTTACCTGCCCCTCAACACCTGGGCCATAGACGTCTGTGCCCTTTGCAAGGAGCTTTCACGTGCACATTCTTCCTGGGGAACCCACTCCCTACTGCCAGTTTGTAAGCCGGACAGAGGAGATCTGCTTTGTGCAGAGGAGGAAGGGGAGACCCAGAGAGGAAAGGCAGGACAGGTTGATGCCGTTCAAGCACCTGCTGTGTGTCAGAAGCGTCACATTCATTAATTCTCCTCCAAAACCCCTCCACCATTGCATGTGTGGACACTGAGGTTCAGAAAGGGGCAGTGACTTGTCCAAAGTCACACAGCAAGGAACTGGCAGAGGCTGAGTGCAGGCCCAGATCTTTCTGACTCCAGAGTCTGGGATTTGGAACAGATGTGTACAGCGTGGGGTTGACAGATCTGTCCCCGGGACTGTTGTGAGGACCAGTTGGGAAAACAGGCAGGAGGGCAACTGAAACAGTGCTTAAGGACTAGAAATAGAAGTGAAATCTGTCCGTCTCCACCAAATCACAGAGAGAACAGGGACAGAAGCCTAGGGAGGCTGCAGCATGCCCAAGGTCAGGGCAAGCCCAAGCTCACCGCCCCCAGGACCTCCTGCCCAGGTAAGGGCAGGGACTATCCCTCCGGGGCCTTCCCCCCCCCCCCAGGAGAGTGGAAACTTCCAAAGTCCCCCTGACCTGCCTGGAGGGTGAGAAGAGCAGGAATGTCTGCTCTGGAGCCTGGGGCTGAGGCTGGAATCCCAGGGCTTGCCACGGCCTCCAGGCCCATCCAGCACCCCCCCCCCCCACCCTGAGCCCTGGAGCTCTCCCGCCCCTGGGTATGTCAGCCGAGGAGAGGGGTCAGAGGCCCATGTTCTTAGAGGAGACTGGAAGTAGTCGAGGCCAAAGGAACAGAGCGCCGTGGGGGGTTGCAGGTGCAACAGGCTGGCAAGGCAGATCAGAGTCTGGGGAGGTCGGAGGGGAAGGAGAGGCCCGCGGCCCCCTCTCGCTTTTCAAACTTTTAAAAAGCTGCAGCCCCTGGGGCGCCTGGTGGCTTAGTGGTTGAATGTCTGCCTTCAGCTCAGGTCGTGATTCCGGAGTCCCAGGGGAGTCCCCCGCAGGGAGCCTGCTTCTCCCTCTGCCTGTGTCTCTGCCTCTCTCTCTGTGTCTCTCATGAATAAATAAATAAATAAATAAATAAATAAATAAATAAATAAATAATAAAATCTTAAAAAAAAAAAGACGCAGACTCTTCCTTTCAAATGAAATCCGCAGCGTGTTCTCCTCCCCACTCCCAGGTCACTAGCAAGCCCCAGGGGAGGAACCCCCACCCCCAAGCAGTGAGCCCTGAGGAAGCGCAGCAGCCTGGCAGCCAGGGGCCAGCCTGGCCCTCACAGCTCAGCCTTGTCCTGTTGGACACGAACAATTCCACAGAACATTGGCATGAGGCAGGGCCACTCCGTTACCATGATGGGCAAAGGCAAATCAAGGCCACCCAGGAACCGTGGCTGAGCTCAGGCGAGCATGAATACCATGCAAGCCTCAGCAATGCTCACACCTTCCCCGCCTGGGCTGTGACTGCTGCCCCTTTGCCAACAACCTCCTTCTAGATCAGATTGACTAATCATGGAGTTAGCCCTGCTTCCCGACAGTAGCTGGTGTGGAACAGGGTCCTGCTTCCCTGATCCTCCCTCAAAGCCCCTAACTCTCAACAAGCCTTTTCTCAGGCCTCTGAGACCTGGTTCCCATGGGTCTGTCCCCCTCGCTGCCGTGAGGAACAAACCCAACTATTCACCAGGGCTGAGCTCCCAGCTGCCCTGTCCTGTAGGGCACGGGCACATGGATTCCCAATACTCCCACCACTGACTCTGCAGAAGTCAAAGGCAGGGACCCATCACCTCCTTTTTGCACACAAAGAAAGTGAGGGCCATCGAGGCCACCAGACTTGCCCGAGTTCACAGAGTAGGGGGCTAGGGGGAATGTATAATGTATAATCCAAATGGGATGACTCTGATCGCAAGTGGGTACACCAACAGTATAAAGTAACTGGGCAGGGGCAGCAGGCAGAAACCAGGACTGTCCGGGGCAGACCAGGCGTACGGGCTCCCCTTCAGGCAGCAGGATGTGGAGCTGGGACTGGCAAAGCCAGAGTCTCGCCCTCTCTCTCTCTGCCGCCCCAAGCCCTCACCCTGCCCCCTGTGCCAACCCCTAGGATGGGGTTAGCCTCCGCTGGGGCTCTGGGTGCTCTGGGGCATTTGTGATTCAGGGGTGCAGGTGTCGTACACGGCCTTGCCCCTGTGCTTGGTGGTCCCTTTCCAGAGGGTGCCCACAGTGCCCGCCTGACAGGATGGCTTATCTACCCTGCCCAGAGGGGGATTAGGTGGTTTCACATAAAAGAATTTACAGGTGAAAGTGACCCTTTTACACACTGAAAACTTTATTTTAGCTGTTTGCCCAGACAACCCTTCTGATGCAGGTCACCTGCTCCCCCACTCACTTCGTAAGCAGGGCACACTGCCCCTCACTGTGTCCCCAGTCTTGGGGCTACTAGCAAGAGCACATTACAGCAGGGGGATGCACCCACTGGCACCCCTCACCATAAAGGCTCTTCTCCTCGAGGTAGTAATGACTCAGAATGAAAGAGGAGTGTGTTTCCAGGGGTGTGCACTTTTTTTTTTTTATTTTTACTTATTTTTTTTTTACTGGGCAGGGAGGGTAGAGAGTCTTAAGCAGACTCTGTGTTGAACAGGGAGCCTGACTCGGGCTTGATCTCACAAGCCTGGGACCAGGGCTTGAGCTGAAACCAAGAGTTGGAGGCCCAACCAACAGCACCATCTAGGCGCCCCAGGGGCAAGCACTTTGGACTCAGCCCTGGGGGCCTCTCCTTCCCTCAGCTGAGATCCCCAACTCCGACCCAGAGGCCAAGCCTAGATGAAGGTCTCCTCCGCCCAGCGGCCCAGGGTGCAAGTTCTGAGCGTGCGGACCTGGCGTGAAGGGGTACCACGGCCCCTCTCTCTGAAGCTGCCACTGTCCGTGCTGGGGCACGCAGGCACTTTGCAGAGATGAGCCTGTTAAAGGCCTTACACTGTGTGCCTACAGTACAGTGGTATCTCCGGGGGCTGCTCAGGGAGCCTGAGCTATTTGTCCCTGCATTCAATGGACCAGAGATGGTTGTGTGGTTGTCACTCCACCACCTCTGGGCTCTGCTGGCCATTTTTAACTTCTCTGCTCCCACCTTGGCTTGTACTCTGCCTCTGTTCCTAACTCACAAGGCACCAAGCTCAGTAGACTGTAAGCTCTTGGAGGGCAAGAATCTTACCAGTTCACGTCCGTCTCCCCCTAAAAATCCTGGCGTTGTGTTCGGCACACAGTGGATGCTCAGTAAATGCCACCCGAATCAAATCGAATCAAGCCAGGAGGCTTCATTTCACCCACCATCCCAAGCCAATGCAGATATATTCTGCAGAGAAGGGGATTTCTTTGGGGACTTTCTGCCTGCCTTTGTGACTCATATGTGTGCCATTTGGAGGTTTGCATACCAGGGATGGGGGTGGGGGACAGCGGGGAGAGTGAAGGGCCTGGGAATCTAAGACTTAGGGCATGGGTGTCTGCAAAAGGCTCATCTGCAAAAGGCTCATCTGCAAAAGGCTCTGGTCGGCTTTGTGAACCTTCAGTGGGCATTGATCTGAGCACAGGAGATACTGAGGCGAGTAGAGCAAAGACGCTAGCCTTGAGCAGTTGTCATGCTCCAGCAACAAACGTACAAGGCCCAAAGATGGCATAGAGGAGCCAGAAAGAACATATTCAGGGAAGTGGGAAGTGGTAACAGTGGGAAAAGCTTTCAGAGGAGGGACATCTGTGCCAGGGTTTGAAGGATGAGTGTGAATTTGCCAGACAAGGAAGCACAGGGCCTACTGGTGGAGGGGACAGCTTAGGATGGTCTTGGGGTGGGGGTGGGGGAGTGGGCTGGGAATTGTAGCAACAGAGGCTGAGGCATGGGATGAATGGGGAGAAAGTTGGGAAGTCACCAGAGGTGAGTCAGGGAAGGTTTGGATCTGGGGCAATGGAAACCACAGGAGGGATGTGGGCAGGATGAGCGTGGTTAGCTCTGAGGGAAGATGGATCACTCCAGCTACCTAGGGGTGGGGCGGGGGGTATGGGGGGTCGGCTACAAGACTCGACAGAATGGGAGCCCTAAGAGGCCCTCACAGAGGATCAGGGCCTCAGGGGTAGCACCAAGGAGGGTCTGTTCAGAAGCCAGCTTTGTGGGGAGGCAGAAACAGCTCTTGAGGGCCCCAGCGGCTGCAAATCTCAATGAATCATATTTTACCTGCAAAGCTTCACGAAAGACAATTAATAGTTAAAGAGCAATGGTCCATGGACAGCAAGCATCCCCTCCCGCACACTTCTTTGAGCATTCAAAATGCCCTCAGGTCCACTTACTCCTATGAACCTCCACATAAGCCCATTTGGCAGACAGGGACATTAAGGCCCTGTGAGGTCACATGGGGATTAGCCGTGGTGTTGGGCTAGAACCCAAGGAATAGTTCCATCTCAGCCCTGGGCGTCGGGCTCAAAGCCCAGTTCCTTGTCCGGGAGGGGGTCACCAGGGCTGTCTGGCAGCCCGTAGTACAAGTCTTCCTCTTCCTGTTCTGGCTCCTCTGCTCTCGTGTCTGAAACCTTCTCTTCCTCCTCCTTTGTCCTCTGGGACTGCTGCCGACAGCTGGACAGGGCCGTATCCTGCCGCTGCCCCTCTGGAGGTGCATCTTCTGGTGTGGGAGCGTCAATCAGGACAAAGTCATGGAAGCGGTCCAGCTGGCACCTGCAGGCCCAGGGCTCCCGAGAGGGGGGATGGGGCCCCTCCCCCTCAGGTGGAGAGGGGTTGGGGCTGCCGCCCTCACTGGAGTCCATGTCTAGGTCATCTCGGAAGGAAGCCAACGGTGCAGGGCCCTGGGGACAGGCCTGGAGGCTGCAGGAGCAAAGGCCCAGAGAGCAAGGGTAGCTCTGAGTCAGACTGCCTGGGTCCAGATTCCAGCTATTAGCTGCAATGCCCAGTGTAGGTGAGTTTACCTCTCTGGGCCTCAGTTTCCTCCTCTACAAAATGGGGGGAAATAATCATACTCACTCCTATGGTTGTCCCTGAGGGTTACAGCATATAGCATGTGCAAAGCACCTTGCACAATACCTGGCACATAGTAGGTACTTAAGAACTGGGATTATGTTATTATCCAAACCAGATGCTTCTCCTGCCTCCCTGACCACCCAGGGGTCTCCTGTGGGCCTTCAGCCCCCGCCACACAAGGTACCACCTTCTGTTCCCTCGTCTGCCTCCCCCCAAGTGGCTCCTGTGGGTGGGGCCCTCGAGGTCCGGCAGGGAGTAGGTGCCCCGCAGTGTTGGTGGGATGAGTGAACAAACGGAAGAATGAGAAACCTAGTTCACAGAGCACATCAGCAGCAGAGTCCAGATTTGAACCCACCCAGTTCTCACAACAACCCTCAGAGGCAGGAGTGATGATAGTGATGATTATTATTCCCACGTGGGGAAACTGAGGCTCAGGAGGATAAGAAACTTGCCAAGGCTACACAGCAGAGGAGCTGGGATTTGAACCCAGGCCTGGCAGGCTAAGCCAGGCTCATGTGTCAGCTGCCTCTCAGGGCGTCCCCACCCCCTTGCCCTCGCCACTCCCGAATGTCCCAGCCAGCCCCCCAGTGGCCCAGGGCCCCTCCGGCTTCACGCTGGAGCTGGTACAGCACTCTGTGTACTCACCCAGGCCTGCTCGGAGTGGGCTGGCTTCTGTCCTCATCCTCATCCGAGCCCCTGTGGATGACCACCGTGGCCTCCATCCAGGCCTGAGCATCACGAGGGCCACCTTCTCCTCCATCACCGGCTCCCAGCTGCGGCTGTCCCGGCCCCGACGCCAGCAGGGGGCGAGGGTCCTCATGGTAGCCCATGACCTTCATCTGGATGTGGCTGAAGTCGGGCAGGCTCTGGTCGTAGGCGGCTTCCTCCCACAGCCTGACGTATGGGGGCTCGGGGCTGGGTGGGGCGCAGCAGGGAGCAGAGAAAGAACAGGTCGGTGGGCAAGTCCACTCAGCAGATCTCACAGGAGGACACCTGGGTGTCGTCTCCCCGCCCTCCTGCTCTGGGCATTGGTCTCCCCTGATCTCAAGCCCTTGGGGGATGTAACTGTACCCAGTTCACGGACAGGGAGACTGAGGCCCAGCAAGGAGTGGCTGAGCTCGGGCTCTTAGACCAGTGCTCCTCCCACTCCACAGCTCCCCAGATAATCCCAAGAGAGCACCCGCGGAACATGGGCGGGTTCTCATGGACACAAAGTGTGCTGCGTTTCAGACGGTGAGCCAAGGCCTGTGCTCACCACTGCATTTGTTCTGCATACCCCTGTGAAGCAGAGTGATCGTCCCGTGCTGTTTTGGGGGAGGACACAGCAGCAGCGACAGCCCAAATATTGAGTGCTCCTTGCCTGACAGGTTGTCAGGTAGCTCACATAATCCCTGCCCCACCCGGGAACCGGGGAGCCTGGAGACTTCGGCGGGCTTGCCCACAGTGCCTCCCACACCAGGTGACACTGCTGGGGCTCCAGCCATCATCCCCTTCTTTATGCTCTCCACAGCCCCTCTGCAAAGTGAGGTGCGGGGACCAGATCCCCTGCCCAAGATCACACAGGAGGAGCCCAGAACTCGGCTCTGTGCAGTGGCTCTTCCTGTGTGACCAGTCCTAGGCCCACCCAGGGTCTAGCCACCTCGTTCCCCTACGGAGGTCACTCTGTTGTGCCAGGAAGAGAAAGTATCATCAATGCCTCCTTCCCCAAGCGAAGGAGAGTGTTCCAGAACCCTGGCCATAGACCCTGGACCTGCAGCCCCGTCTTTAAGCACAGAGTCACAGCCTCCAGGGGTGGGGAGGGCGGCTGGTCCCACCCCCTCTCCAGGGCTGGAGTACTTGCTGCCGTGTGCTGGGGAGCCACGCAGGTCTGGTCTGGTCCATCACTGACTCCCTATGAGGTTTGAAGCCTGTGATTATACTTCTGTTTGTTTGTTTGTTTGTTTGTTTGTTTGTTTTGGGGGGGGTTTGAGAGGGAGAAAGAGAGATGGGGAGGAGGAGACGGAGAGGGAGAGAGAGACTCCCAAGAAGGCTCCATGCCCAGCGCAGAGCTGGACTCGGGGTTTGATCTCATGATCCTGAGATCATGACCTGAGCTGAAATCAAGAGTCGGACACTTAACCGGCTGTGCCACCCGAGTGTCCCTGTAATTATACTTCTTGAACCTCAGTTTCCTCCTTGGTATAAAGGGCCTGACAACCCCACTTCACACGGTTCCCATGAGGACTAAAGGAAGTGATGGGAGCAAACTGGTGATTTGATCTCTGGTTGACAGGTAGCACGTCTCACTAGTGATGACACCCTTGGAGATGGCCCATCATGCACCACGATCTGGTCTTGGTGCTTTGTTTATATAGGGCTGTCCCTTAGCCCTCCCTGAAGCCCTAGGGGAAAGGTACGATTACTACCTGTATTTTACAGCTGGGACAAAGACAGGTAAGTCACCTTCTCCCAATCCCACAGCCTATAGGTGGAGAGCCCCAGGACTGTGCTTGGCCATCAACATGCCCCTTGTTTGCCATACAGAGTCGCAGTCACAGCTGTTTGGCATTTAGGGCCACACCTGTTTTTGATCTGGTATGCCACCAATTCCCCCTAAAACGGGACAAAATCCTTGAGCCTCGGTTCCCTCAGCTGTAAAACAGGAAGAATAATGCCTACCTTGTAGAATCAAGAGTTCAAAACAATCCCTGGTTTCTAACGGCACGCTCTCAGGAAGTGGGGAGGGAAAGCAGGAGCCTGCTGCAAGCGGAAGAGGCACCAACCAGCCCTCTCACCCCCCTCCATCACTCTCCTCTGTAAGAGGATACAGGCCTGAGGGGCTCCCCCCACAGCCCTCTGCCGCGGAGGGCCTGGCACCTACCTCTTCATCTCTGCAGCGAGCCCATTCTCCAGGAGTCCCAGTGCCTTTGGGGACAGGATGCCTTGGAAGTCCGAGTCAGCGGGTATGAAGGTGATCTGCAGGGCAAAGGAAAGAAGGCTTCTCTGTGGCTCCCACACCCATCCTGGCCAGGAGGGCTCCCTGCGGGACAGCAGAAGGCCCTGCTCAGGGCCCAGCTGCAGGGAGTGATTGGATCTCTGGGCTCTTGCTCCCATCTGGCTCTTCATTCACCCAGAAGACATTTATTGAGCACCAGCTGTGTGCCAGGCAGTCTTGCAAGCACGAGGGGGCAGCAATGAGCAAACGAGAGCCCTGGAGGAAGTGGTGTCTTGTTATTTCCCAGGGTCCAAGTCCAGGGCCCCAAATGCACCTGGCACAGAGTAGGTGCTTCATCCTTATCTGATGAGTGAGTGGGAAGCAAATCGTTGCCACGTATCTCTTGGCACAGAGGCTGTGGTGGGGGCCAGAGAAGTGAGTGACTGAAGTTGCACCCATCAGTCCCTGTAGTGGAACTCTCAGGGATCAAGAGGTCTCTGCAAGTGCAGCACATGCGGTGGGCACTGGGTGGCAGAGGGGAGGCAGGTCATAAAGGAGGCGGTGGGATGAGACAGAAGGAGCCCTGCTTTTGGGGTCCGGGAGACTGGGGAAGATTCCTTTCTTGGGCAGGTCATCACTCCTCTCAGAGCCTCTATGTACCTCTCTGTAAAATGGGCTAGCCTCAAAGAGATATTTGCAGCATTTGTTCACAACAGGCAAAAAGTGGAAAGAACCCAAGTGTCCAACAACAGACGAACAGATAAACAAAACGTGGTACATACGTACAATGGATCATTATCCGGCCTTAGAAAGGAGTGAAGCTCTGACATCTGCTACAACACGAATGAGCCTTGAAGAAATAAGCCAAGAACAAAAGGACAGATTCTGCAGGAGTCCACTTACATGAGGTACCCACACTAGTCAAATCCATGCAGAGAGCAGAATGGTGGCTGACACAAGACAGGAGGGAAGGGGGTGGGGAGGTATCGTTTAATGGCCATAAAGTTTCAGTTTGGCAAGAGGAAAATATTTCTGGAGATTGGTTGCACAATAATGTGCATTTAATTAATACTCCTGAACTGCAGGGGCACCCTGCTGGCTCAGCTGCTGGAGCATGTGACTCTTGATCTGGGGGTTGTGGGTTTGAGCCCCACATTGGGTGTAGAGATTACTATAAAATAATATATATATATATATATTTTAAAAAAACCTACTGAACTATACATTTAAAATGGTTAAGACAGTAAATTTTATGGGCATATTTTACCATAATTTTTTAGATGGGGCTAACGATATCTGTCTCCTGGGGTTGCTGTGAGGATCCCATGAGATATCGTATAAGGAAGCCTCCAGCAGAATTCTGGGCACAGAGTAGCTGCTCAGTAAACCATAGTTCAATGCTTCTGAAGATGAAGTTATCTGACCTCTCTGAGTCTTGCTCTCAACTGAAAATTTGTTCAACAAATATTTGACAAGAGCCCACTGTGTTACACCAGGGTCATAAGTAGCAGGCCCTTGTATCTCTTCTACAGAATATGATGAGCCAAAGACACTTGCCTGCACCAGAAAGTCTCCATCCTGCTGGGGAGAAGGGAATGATGGATGGAGGGAATCTTAGAACTCCTATGAGGAGTAAGCTTCCCTGAAATGCCTAGAAATAAGGCAGAGGTCTTGGTACCTTCCATACCCACCAAGCATGCTCTGCCCTTGCCAGCTGGCTCTGTACTTCTTAGAAGCTGCCCCTTTGTCTGCCTCATTACCTCATGGCCCAGTCACCACCTCCTCCGCTTCCTCCTCCTCACCACCACCACCATCATCATCGTTATCATTATCACTATGCCCACAACCACCACCATCACCACCACCCCATCACCATTATCACCATTACTACAACCACCATCATCATCACCACCACTACTACCATCATCATCTCCATCAACATTATCACCATGTCATTCCCATCACTATCACCATCATCGCCAGCACCACCATCATCATCATATCATCACCATCATCACCACCACTACCACTACCATCACCTCCATCAACATCATCATATCATCATCACCGTCACCACCACCAACACCATTGCCATTAACGCCATTACAACAACCATCACCATCATCACCACCACTACCACCATATCATTTCCACCAACATCATCACATCATTACCATCACTGTCACCATCATCAGCTCCATCAACATTATCATCATATCATCATCACCACCACCACCATTTCTATCATCACCACTATCATCATGGCTATTACCATCATCATCATCACAAGAGAGCATCACTATTATCACCACAGTGAAAAGCCTGAGGGAGAAGGAAAGGCTGGAGCATGTTGGAACACAAGTCCTTTTAAAGAGAGGGGGACAGATAGAGTTGAAACTGGTGAGGCGGCACCAGACTATGAAGACCCCAGAACATCAGACTAAGAGGTTCAGTCTTTATCCAGAAGCATGGGAGCCCTGGAGGAGTGCTCAGCAGGAAAGTACACAGGCAGATTCATGTCTAGGCAGAGCACCGAGCTGACCCGAAAGGGAAGGAACACAGGGAGCAGAGGGAGTGAGGGTTACCCATGGAGAAGAGGATCCATCAACCGCCAATCAGGGGCCAGGCTCTGGACTCCAGGGGAGTAGGTGGGAGAGGGGACTGGGGGAACTGTGGGCAGAAACAGAAGCCAGACAGGGAGAGGCCCTTCTTCCTTCCCTTCCTTCTCCCAGCAACCCCGCCCTGTCCCAGCCAATGGGCATAACAACCCTGACAGTCTCATATCTCAGATTTGCCTCAATTTCTCCTTCTGTAATGCCTGAGGTCCAGCTCACCCCCTTGCCCGACCAAGTCTACTGCAGAAGTTCAAAGAGATAAGCTCAGTAGAAGAGCCAGGGTCACATCTAGCCATGACAGGCACTGCACGTGTGATGAATGAGAAATGTCTTCTCAGTTTCTATGGTCTTGGGTTCAAATGCTGCCTGAATCCAGGGGCCCATCAACTCTCACCCAGCCCAGTGAAGGAGCCTCCACCACTGGCCTGGTTGCCCCAAATCCTTCCTCCTCTCCGATGTCAGCCTGACAACTTTCCTGAACTGCAAAGCTGATTGTGTCCATCTTTGGTCTCATCAACTAAAGGGTAAGGTCCAAATTCCTTAGCATGGCACCCCAGGCCCTGTGGAGCTGGGCCCACTGTGTCTCTACCTTCCCTCCAACCTCCATCTGCAGCAGCACGCTGACCCACTCTTGTTGCTCCCTTCACTTGTGCCTTTGATTGTGCTGTTCCTTCTTCCTGGAAAGTCTTTCCCCATCTTCTCTGCCTGGTGAACTTCTACGTAATCTACAAAAGCCCTCATCTTGTCCATGAAGCCTACTCCCTCCCCATCAGGCAGAAAATTGTCTCCCCGACAAGATCCTAGCCCCTCAAAGACAGAGGCAGCTTAGTTCATGCTACTCTTATATCCTAATGGGCTGATTCCGTTCCCTTATACTTATATTTCTTTCAATCCAGAAAATTCCCATTTGTGAGACACTGAGAGACAGGGGAGGACAGCGCTAGCATTTGCTGAGAGCTCCAGGGGGCCAGGCATGAGAGCAGGGCGGACGTGAGGGATGGGATCCCCCACCCCCCACCCCAACCACTCCTCCCTGGTCCATAACACACTTTCCTTCCTTTGCCTTGGTGCGCTGGCTCCAAAGCCTCCGTCTCTGAAACACACGCCACACGTACCTGCACCAGTGCTCGCACCCCTGCACACACACACACACACACACACACCGACACCCGCCCAATGCCACAAACACCAGTCCTAAGGACAGAGTGTAATCTGGTCCCCCCATACCAGACCCTACTGGTCCCCACATGGGGCCGTGCAAGGCTCCAGGACATGGGGGGTGGCCTCTGCCAAGGTCACAGAAGAGGGGCAGTGGGGGACACGAAAGCGTTCACTGTCTCCACCCTGCCCTGCTGCCTCCACAGCACCTGAACACGTGAATCTATCAACAGTTACTCATTAATGCCCAGTAAGATTCCCTCTCCCCTCTCTCCCTCCCCTGCCACTGCCACCCGGTCCCTCTGCCCACCCCCACCCCCAGAGCCACCTCTGGCAAAGGGGGAGAGGCAGGAAAGACCTTACCCTCCACACCCCTGCGGTCCCCTGGCCAGGCCCCACCATCCAGCCTCCTCACTGGGAGGATGACAACAGAGGTGGGGTGACGTGGGTGGCTTGGGCCCCAGGGACCTCTTCCCCTGGTGACCTGTACTCAGGGCATTGCACAGACAGAGGCTAGTTGACTGTAAACTGCTGGGTAAATGGCTACAAACCAGTCCAGACCGCCCAGGCACCAAACACACTGACAGCAGGGGCTGGCGCACAGAGGGGGTGGGGGTGCTGAGGGAGAGCCAGGCCCAGGGCCTGCCCCCCTAGCTCCCTGCCTATTCCCCTGAACACCCCCAGCACAGCTACCCAGGTGGGAGAGAGGAGGGGGCTGCAGGCCGTGGGGGCTGCCCTACATGGCAGGACCTGCAGGGCCCTCAGATGCACTCCCTCTCACCCCTCCTTCCTGACACACACTTTGTATGAATGAAAAAACAGGCTCAGAGAAGAAAGGGGCTTGACCAAAGTCTCCCAGGCAGTTAGAGACAGAGCCCAAGTTATGATCCATGGCTCCAGGGCACCTGGGTGGCTCAGTGGTTGAGCACCTGCCTTTGGCTCAGGTCGTGATCCCAGGGTCCTAGGATCAAGCCCCGCATCGGGCTCCCCGCAGGGAGCCTGCTTCTCCCTCTGCCTATGTCTCTGCCTCTGTCTGTGTCTCTCATGAATAAATGCATAAAATCTTAAAAAGAAGAAAGAAAGAAAAGAAAGAAAGAAAGAAAGGAAGGAAGGAAGGAAGGAAGGAAGAAGAAGAAGAAGAAGAAGAAGAAGAAGAAGAAGAAGAAGAAAGAAAGAAAGAAAGAAAGAAAGAAAGAAAGAAAGAAAGAAAGAAAAGGAAGAAAGAAAAGGAAGAAAGAAAAGGAAGAAAGAAAGGAAGAGAAAAAAGAAAGAATCCATAGCTGCTCTCTTCATCTCCCTGGGTCCGTTGGACAGCTGTGTGACCTTGGAAAAGTCTCCCATCCTCTCTGGGCCCTGAAAAATGACAATTCCTGACATGATCCATCATTGTTGGGAGGATCAGTAACAAGGAGATTGGAAGCCCTTCTCCTAAATATCACACCCCACCATTCATAAAACATTCCTACATCCCATCTCTTCTCTGTTCCTCATAATAACTCTGGGAGGCTGGGGGAAATAGGAGCTTGGGCCCACTTTACAGATGAATGAAACCAAGGTTCAGAAAGACAAAGGTCACACAGAGGGTTTGAGACTTAGAGCTGGAACTAGAACACAGGATCCCAAACCAGTGCTCTTCTTACCACTGAGTCATTCACAAGGATAGGAGCACATTCAATGGAAGAAAAAGGCACTGCCCACCCCCCACCCCCCCATCGCAGGCATGGTTCCAGCTGACCCACCCCGGAACTCTTGGCAGTGGCAGTGCGGGGACACAGGGGCCACCCTCCGAGGGGGAAGGCTTGCCCTTTAAGTCACATGCAGCTGAGCCACGACCTCAACTCTGACACTTAGGAACTGTGGGAGCCTGGTGCTTCTCCACTCTACAATGAACTACAGATGGTGCCAGAAAGCTCTGGGTGAGGATGAGCTACACCATGAAGCAGGAGTGTCTCCGCTGTGGTTTCAAGCACGTGATCGTAGGGTAGGGTGGGTTTCACTGTCTGCCTCATGGTTTGGGGCTCTAGATCCAGGGGGCTTCTGACCAGTCCTTATGATGAAGGATGGAGGGAGGGAGGGAAGGAGGGATGGAGGGAGGGATGATGGAAGGAGGAAGGGATGGAAGGGAGGGAGGGAGGGAGGGATGGGTGCTCAGGAAGGAAAAAGAGGGTAGAACAGGGGAGGACGACAAGACAGTGAAAGACGGAGGACGACACCCAGAACCCAGGCGCAGCCCCATCCCTCCTGGGCCCGGGCCGCCTACCTTGGGGTAGCACTGGCACATGCTCCAGACGACGCCCCCGATCACCATGACGCAGCCTATGGCGTAGAAGGTGCCGTAGACCTGGGGCCGGTCGTGGCTCATGAGGAACGTGCCGAGGGCCAGCAGGAAGAGCCCCAGCACGATGAAGCCGATGCGGAAGGTCTTCTCGTCAGCCATGGCTGCCCGGCCAGGCCCCGGCTGGGGTGACACGGCACAGGCTCCTCGCGCAGAGCAGGGGGAGGCTCGGGGATGGCTGCGGCGGGGCTGGGGCTCCCGTCGAAGGGCAAGGGCGGCGGCTCCCCGCCAGCTGCAGGGGGCGGACCACTCACCGGCGAGGAGCTACGCTTCGATGGCCCCGGGCCACCCGCCCACCTTCGCTCCCTCTCACCTTCCCTGGGGCGGCCAGAGCCTGTGTGCGTGCGTGTGTGTGTCTGTGCGTGTGTGTGTGAGTGTGTGAGTGTGTGAACCTGAAGGAGGGGAAACATGAGGGAGGGAGAGGGGGAGGATTCTGGGGCTGGGCCCCGGGCCAGGGCTTTGACATCACCTCATTTGCCTGCGTGGGGCTGCGCTGGGCTGGGCAGGTGGCCCCACGCCGGCTGGGCTGGCCGGGAAGCAGGAGGCCACAGCACAGCCCGAAGAGCCTAGAATGCCGCGGGAAGATTCCAGGATCCCCCGGGGCCGGCTAAGCTTTAGGCTCCTGAAGAACCCTGGACTCTTCAAGGTCATGGCGTTCAGGAATAATAGCTCATTCTACAGGACGGTGGGGCTGCACGCCTGACGCTGCTCCAAACGTGTTACCGCTGTTAACTCAACTAAGGGAACCCCGCGAGGCAACTACTACTATCTCCACTTCACAAGTGAGGACAGAGGGGGTACATCACCCAAGGTCACACAGCTAGAAATAGCAGAGCAGCTGCAGTTTGAACCCCGACGCTGTGCACCCGGCCACCATGTGATACTGCCTCACTGTTCGTGACGGGTCAGAAGTGTGGGCTCTGGGGGCCAGGGCGTGGGTTCTGGTTCCTCTGCCCAGGGACAGTGAACTCATGATTACATGACCCCTCTGTGCCTCAGTTTCCCTCCCCTGTACAACGGGGTAACAACCGCACCTCCCAGGACCAGCACGGTCTCCAGGCCTGGCCTCCCTGGGATCCTCTTTCCTTTCTCATACCCTGCACTCCCCCAGACCTGCTCCAGTAGGCTGCCCCCCTAGAAACGTTAGTGCCCCTGGAGGGCGTGAGTGACTGACAGCCAGTCCCTGGCCTCCTCACCCGGGAAGACGCCTTCACCCTAAGATTGGCTTTCTGATGTTGGAGTTTCAGTCCTGGGGACGGGCTGATGGGAAAAATCAGATCCCTTTCTGAGATATTATAGGAAAAGGAAAGCCATGGGGATCTCTAAAAGAAGATACTTTTATAGGTTTTATAGGGTTAAGTCACCACGGGGAGATACAAGGCCAAGTCAACTGGCGTCCTGACTGATAGGTTTGGGGAGGCTTCTGTGTGTGGCCACGGCCTTCTCCCTCCTTCCCAGCACGGGCTGTGCTGGTTCTGGGCACCACACCTGTGCTCACACCCTCTGCCTGGTGTTCCTGACCATAAACATTTATTCCAGCAGCAGCGGTTTCTCCTTCACCAGCTCTCCCATCCAGGTGGGCCATACTCTAAGTTGGTGGGGGTCGGGGTGAGGAGGAGGGGGTGGAGGGGGGGGTCCCTCATGGTGAGAGGTGGCTAAGGGGTCACATCCAGGTTTGGTTCCCCAGGTGAACTGGGCTGGAGACTCGTCACCTGTGCACTGAGGGTGGTATCAGGTCGCCTCCTAGGTGACCGCGCGGGGAAGTGACCTAAGGAAGGAACACCTGATGGGATCTGGTTATCAGCATGGCTGGACCGTCCAGGGCGTCAGGGTCATCATCACCTGGAAGAGGGCTCAGGGGATGCAAGCGCCAGGCGCCCCGCCCAGGAAGGGAGGCGAGGCCGGGAGGGGTCCAGGCGGGGCGGGCCGGTGGGAGCCCCGCGCGCCCCCTGGTGGCCGCCGTGGCAAGCGCTCTGCCGCCGCTCACCCCGCGGTTCTAGCAGGCGTCTCCGCCCCTCCGCCCAGGTCATCGTGCCCATTTCACAGGCGAGGAAACTGAGGCTGGGGAGTGGCAGGGACTGGCTAATACCTTCCCAAACCGAGTCGGCGGCTAAACGGGGACCCATGCAGCCCCAACGCCAGTATGGATGATGGATCTGGCCCTTAGCCCTTCCAGAGCGGCCTCCCAGTCACCCAAGCATTTTCCTCTGCTCCCCACCTTTTATTTCCCCTCCACGACCCAACCTTCATTTCCCTTTTTCTCCCCTCTTAAAAAAAGAAAAAAGGAGTGACAACGAGTAAGAATAAGAAACTGGGACAAGCAGGTGCTGGGTGGGCCGGGTCTGGTGTCATCTCTTCCCTAGAGCCCAGGCCTTTGCCTTCCAGCCAAGGGGGTGGGGGTCGGGGTGGGGGAGTAGGGGGGTGACGGTGGGAGGAGCGGGTCAGGGCTCTTGTCCCTCAGATCGGTACAGGGTCCTCGAAAGATCCTCAGAGGCAGGGAGAGGAAAGATCGCACCCATCAGACAGATGCAGAAGCTGAGGCTGATGGAGGCAAGGTGAGCTACGCAAGGTCGCAAAACCTGTAAATAGCAGAGCCCAGAATTCAAGCCAGGTCCCCAGCCAGGCTCTTGCTGAGCACCAACTGCATGCAGGGCCACCTGAAGGGTGAGGCACTCTGATAAATATGGGGTTTCAAAGTGTGTTGGCACTTGGTGCTACTTTCCGAGGCACAGTAAGGTAAAGGCTCTGAGACGTGGGTGAGGTCCGGCACGTGCACAAAGCGGAAAGAGGGATAGACTGGAGGTGGGGGAGTGGGTAAGGAGGTGAGAGGAACGAAGGGATAGATTCATAGAAGGGATCTTGAAAGGTTGTTTGGAGCTCTGTCAGGGCAAGGAAAGCAGCTCAGAGAGCGACAGCAAGAGCAAAGGCCCAGGAGTGAGTAAGCACCGACTCGTGGCTGGAGCTAAAACTCTAAACGCCACGCACACCCTCGCCCCTACACTGCCCTGCCCTCAGACCTGGCCCTCCTGTGTGAACTCCATCCTTCCGGCGTAATTCAGGCCATCACCTGGGATCCCAGCCAGCAGCCTTACTGCCTCTTCACATCCTCTACCTCTAAGATGTAAGAATCCAGTCACTTCTCACCCCCAACTACTGCCCATCCCTCTGGTCCCAGCCCCATCCTCTCTGTCTCCCTGACACTCTCCACTTCGACCCCTGCCCCCTGAAGTCTCTTTTCAACCCAAATGCTAGGTGAGACTATATCACTGCTCTGCTCAGGACCCTGGAAGGACACCCTGTTTTATCAGAGTGAAAGCCAGGGGCCTCAAAACAGCCTACCAGGCCCTAGGTAATTTGCCCTTGCCGCCCACCCCAGCGCCCCTCTCATCCTACTCCAGCCCTCTGGCTCCGGGCTCTTCTCAGAACACAAGGCACCCCACGGCCTTTGCACCTGCTGTTCCTTCTGCTTGGGAGACTCTTCCTTCAGATAGTTGCCTGCCCCCCCCCCCACCTCCTTTAGGCTGTTGTTGTGGAATGTTCTCTTCAGGCTGAGGAGTCCCTGCTGTGACTCCTCGAACAGCAGCACACCCTCCCCACCAGTGTTCACTGCCCTTTCCCGAGTGAATTTTCTCCGTAGTGTGTGTCCCCACCTATTGTGTTACATACATTAATTATCTATCTCGTCCCTTGTCTGTCTCCTACTGCTGCAGACTGTGGACTCTGTTTTGTTCATGGTCATAAGCCCAGGGGCTAGGATGAGTACGCTCCTGATTGATGTTGGGGAGTGGACGGGTGGATAGAACTTCCAGAAGAGAGGGAGGCCAGAGAGGGAAGCACAGGCAGGCTTGCAAGAAACCACTGGCTCTGACTTCATTCTCTGATTTTACGTCTCTGAGGCTCAGTTTCCTGGTCTGTTAAGTGGGAACACCACCTGTAGCAGAGCAGCCACGACGATGTGAAACAGTAGCAGAGGCCTGCCCCTCGCCCCAGCATACAGGAGGTCCTCAAGGAATGCCACCCTTATGCAGCTGACTGAGCCCCAGGACTTTGAATCCCTGCTTGCTGTGTGACCTGGGGAGGGTTACTTAACGTCTCTGAGCTGCCTTTCTCATCTGTGAATGGGGTGAGGTGGAAATGCAGGATGCAGAACGTAACCGGGCGGAGAACAGACATCTGTGCCACATCAGGAAAGTAAGGCAAGGTAACGAGCTCCCTGTCACAGGGGGTATGGGAGCAGAGGCCAAATCTGCACTAGGTGGAAAGGGGTTACTAACAAAATCTGGCAATCCCTGAGCACGAACAGACACCTGCCATTGGGCTAAGATGTGCATTGAGGATTTGAAGCAATAGTACTGTGCCTACAGGGTCACGGTGAGCTCACAAAGCCAGCTGCTCTCACCTCGTGTGTCCCTCACAACCCAGCTCCTCGGCCGGGGCTGCAGCCTGTCACTCCTGATTCCCATCCTATACCCGAGGAAGCCGCGGCAGAGAGGCAAAGCCACTTGTTCAAGGTCACTCGGCTGATAGTCGTGGAACCCATGTCCAGGTGATCTGAGTTCAGAGCCCACATTCCTCTGATCATAGACTCAGGGAGTGACCTCGGGCCAGTCCTGCCCCACCCCCATCATCTCATCTGTACAACAGTCTCCGGGCTGACAACCGGCACAATGGGCAGCTGAGTGCCCCGTCCTGGACACCTCGGCTCACCTCAGGACTGCAGCCCCACCAGCATCACGTGCGGCAGAAGAACCACCAGCCGGGCCCAGGCACCCAGGGAGTCACGAGAGGTGATCAGATGGGTTTATTCTAAGCCGTCTGTTGCACGGCAATAGGTGACTACAACAGCATTCCGCAACAAAGGGTTGTTGAGTGCCTCCTGTGGACCAGGCGCTGGACTAGCCACCAGAGGCCCAGCCTCTGTCCCCGGCTCCAGAGGCCCCGGGGAGCCTTCAAGGTCCCCCCGCTGCGGCCTGAGCCAGGCCGGGGCAGGAGCACCCGGGGCCAGGCACTGTTTGCCCACAGATGCCTTGACCGGCACCAACGATGCTCTCGTAGCTGGGCGGCGGGGGGCACTGGGCCCCCAGCAGGGCATCCCCCGAGGCTCTGTCCTCCAGGCCTTCCTCCACGGGCTGCGCAGGTGGTGTCGGGGGTCCCGCAGCCAGCGGGCAGCACACGGCCTCCTCGTAGGTGGGGACGGCAGCCACTTTTGGGACCCTACAGGAGAAGAAGAGCAGCTGCGGCCAAGGCAAGGGCGAGACCCACCATGTGCCAGGGAAGGAGCCAGGAAGGCTGAGGCCGGAGAAGACTTCGGGCCCTGGTCCCAACCCTGTGCCCACTCCCCAGCACCCCGGGTGCACGGCTGAAGCTGGTCCTCCCTCTCTCCCCTCCCTGCCCCACCTGGTTAGCTGTCCACACACACTCGTCACGCCGCCTCAGTTGTCCCCGCAGGGGAAGTCCACCCCCCCCAACGCTGGCCAGTCCCCACTTGTCCTCTGAGACTCCTCTGCTGTGCTTTCTTGACTGGTGCCTCCCCCCAGCGAAGCTCTCACTCCCTGCTCTGGGCTCCCAAGAGCACTGCCCCCCCCTTGCTGTCACTGCATTGACCCCCACCAGGTGCCCTCGGTCGGTCATCCCTTAGGACGAGGTTGGACTTTGAGCATCCAGGGGCTGAGGGCACATCACCTGGGGACATTTGCTGAAAGACAGAGTGATGGTTCATAGGCAGAAAGACCTCCAGCTTACTGTAATATCCCTCACAAGATCCAGCGTGGTGGCTGCTCAAGGCACGATGGGAGACATCAACCCTCCTGCCCATCTAGACGTTTGAGGCCCCATATGGTAAGTCTGCCAAGTGATTACCTCTGCTTGCATACCTCCAGAGATGGAGAGTTCACTACCTACTGGGTCAACCACATCTATCTGTAAACAGCCTGACTTTCCTGTGACTCGCCCTCCCTCCAACAAATGAACTACCCTGCAGGGACTTAAGGCAGAGACCCGGGCCCGTGAGGCTTCTCAGACCAGGCCTCATAGGCTAGATTCTAAAAACAGGTTACCTACCCCAGCCACAATGCTGATGGCAATGAGGCCGGCCCTCAGTCCTCTCAGAACCCCAGTGGGTCACCTCTGGGGAGGTAGTGCTGCTTCCCTTGCCAGGACCCTGGCGGGTGGGAGTGTCACTGACCCTATGTCTGGGCTGTTTCTGCTTTGGAGACGCTGCTGCCAGATACCGGGGTGACCACGTGACCCTGAAGCTGGCTTCCACACCAAGTAGTATGAGGGCTGGCTAGGAGTCTGGGCACTGGCTAGTTCAACTCTCCACTCTGCCACATTCTTGGTGGAAGATCATGGGCTCAGTAACTCCATTATTCTGAGCCTCAGTTTCCCCGTCTATAAAATGAGGACAATAATAGCACCTATGTCACCAGGGCTATGTGAAGATTAGTTGAGATAATATAGGGAAGGAGCACTTAGCACATACTCCATAAACAGGAACCAATAACAAAATCTCAAAAGTCTCTATGCAGAAGGGGTGTGTGGAACAAAGCTTATCACAGATCTCCTGCCATACAGGCTCCAAGAAGCTGTTGCTTGCCCAAGGTCATCAGTCTGGAGCTGGTGGGGAAACCCGTCAATCCGCACCAGGGGGTCTGCAGGTCTAGACAGGGGAGGGGCTGATGGCAGGAGGCTGGCCCTGGGGGTCAGAAGAGATGGTGGAGGGAACTTCACTCTCCAGGCTGGTGGGGGCCCTGCTGGGCACCTGCTGCTGCCCCTTGCGTGAGCTCCCATCCCCCGCCGGGGACAAGGCCCTTCTCTGGACAATATGTCTTCTTAGGCCAAGACAATCACAGCCCTCAGAGTGACCCACTAGGGCGGTGGGCTTGCTGCTCCAGTCACAGGGTCATGGAACAGGCCTGTGGGGAGCCTAGGGCTGACCCCCAGCCTGTGTGCCAGCCTGATGGAGGGCAACAGCCAGGAGCCAAATGTGGGCCCCCTGCCCAGTGCTATTGCATGCTCCTCTCACAAACCCTCCTCCTCTGCAAGAGACCCAGGAGCCCTGCAGGTGAGGAAGCTGAAGAGGGGTGTCATTCTCTGAGCTCCCAGGATCCTTTGCATGTGACTGCAGGCAAAGAACATTGCTTCTGGAGGAAAGCAAGCTAGATTCTGTTGTCATCTATTGTGGTGTGACCTAGGCCACGTTCACATGGCCTCTCTGAGCCTCTTTCTCCTCATCCGTAAAACAGGGGTAACAATCCCCTTTTATGGATTCAGGGAGGGGGAAAAATGGAAAAAGCTCTAAATACTCATAAAAATGTGGGTAATATAGCTTCTGGAGTCCTATGTCTCCTGCCCAGCTCTTTCTCCTCCCAGCCACACTCCTGCTTCACTCTCTTCTCCAAGCCCTGCAGATGTGAGATAGATTTGGGGTATGCCTGGGGAGTCCAGTCAGTTAACCATCTGCCTTTGGTTCAGGTCATAATCCCAGGGTCCTGGGATGGAGCCTGCTTTTCTCTCTGCCTCTGCCACTCTGCCTCTCTGCCACTCCCCCTGCTTGTGCTCTCTCTTTCTCTGACAATTAAATAAATAAATAAAATCTTAAAAAAAAAAAAAAGATTTGGAGAATGCCTGGGATGGCCCATGCAGGCAACAGCTGGCAGGGCAAGGCACACATACCAGGTAAGCTCACCCCATAGCAGGAAGTTTGCTTAGAAGGCAGACGTGGAGTGGCCCTCATGCCACCTGCTGCTGCCTTAGGAGCCAGCAGGGCCCAGCCAGCCCCAAGTCCCATACCCATGGTCTGGAAATTGGGGAGCTTGAGGCCCCATGCAGGGTGGCCAGATCACACACACTTCCGGACGGAGGCTCCGTTCACAGTGTATTCTGGATACTGCACCCTGTAAGTGTGTGAGAGGGGCCTGCCTCCATGGTCCCCAGGTGCAGCAAGTTCCACTGAGGCTGGGCCTTGCCCCACTCTCTGGAGCCCTGTGGGGGCAGGAGACCCGTACCTGGCGTTGCCTCTTCCACCCTTCAGCTGAGTCAGGCAATCACAGGAGGGAGAGGGAAAGGGATGTGGATGAAATACTATTTGGCCAATGTGTAAATTCCCTAATCCTGTGTCATGTTTGTGACAAGCCAGGGGGCCTGGCTCTCAGCCATTGTACAGATAGGTAAAGGTCACACGTCAGCTAAGCAACAAAGCCCCAGCCCCCTCTGATTGCAAAGTTCAAGCCAACTGTACCTATCACCTGTCTTCCTACCCCAGGCCCTCCTCTCTCCACACCTGAGCTCTGTCATCTGTAAAATGGGTCTCATCCTCAGGCTTACCTCGTATGGTTGAGGCTCACACGGTTAGTGGGCGCCAGAGTGCACTGCAAGCTGCAAAGCAGCAGAGCTAAGTGTGCGTGAACCTTGCAGTGCATCTACTTCCCCATCTATCAACTCATCCGAGCCTCTCGGCAATCACAGGGGAAAGTTCTGTCAGGGTCAGACGACAGATGAAGAATTAGACATGGTTCAGGGAGTCCCAAGTAACACGCTCGAGGACACACGGCTTATAAAAGGAAGAGCGGACACTGAAACCCTCGTGTCTGAGTAGACCAAGGCTGTTTCTGCTGTGCTCGCTGAGGGTGGGGGCCCTGGGAGGCCTGCCGTCCACACCAGCACAGTGGCCTCCCCATGGAGGACAGACGCTCCCGAGCAGCAGGGCCTGGCGAGGTCAGCTTCAGGGACCGGAGAGTCATCGATAAAAGCAGCCTCCTGACACTCAGCCTTCCTAGTTCTGAACCTAAGGCTTGGGTCTCTGAACCTGGTGGGCCATGAGCACCCTCCGGGCAGGGCTTCCTCCTGGCCCTGCTGGAGATGAAGACCAACTGGCCCCACCTGACACACACTACTATGGCCCCGACGCTGTTGAGTCAACACGGCTGTGTGTACAGACAACACCCTCCCCGAGCAGTCAGCCCAGGTGGGGCGAGGAGAGACAGCTTGCCGTCCAGAGCACCCTGAGGGTTGGCCTGGTTCCAGTCAACCACTGACTTGCTGTGTGACCAGGTAGGTCCTGGGGCTCTCTGAGGCCCAGGCTTTTCATCTGAGAAGGGAGAGGATTGGCTGGAGAGTCCCCGAGGCTCTGCCCTGTCCTCTCACTGTTGGGTCAAACCAAGGCCAGACCATTGTACCACATGGCCCCTCGTGAATACTCTATTGTCTCTGACTTCAGGGAGTTACAGGCCACATTCTTGAACTCAGAATACATTCTCCCCCTCACTAAGGGGTCAAGGGTGTCCAGGTCCCAGGCCAGCTCATAAAGCCTTGGCTTAGCCACTCATACACCAAAATCCAGCGCTTACAGGCTGGGCTGGGAGCACGCAAGCTCGGCAGCCAGCAGGCTCAGCCACTTTCAGGCTGGATACTCCTCACCCTCTTCTTCTAGAAACAGCAACAGTAATTGTTACGTTGTAGGCAGACAGGACTGGAGATGGAGGCAGGCCAGGGAGATAGGCACATCCCATACTTGACTGAATGAATAAATACGTAACAAGTACACATATAACGCAGGCATTCTCCACAGGGCAAGAAGTGGGTTCTTGGTATCTTGGTGATCCTCTGTTTATGGACATAATACAGCTATACATACAGAGCAAACAAATAGTATATCGGTGGTATGAACATTTCATGAAAGTGGGTGGAGGATTAAGGGGGAAAAAATGCCTAAAGAAGTTTCCTTAGAGGGAGCAATAATTTTTCAAAGGTTGAGAAATATGGTCTTAATGCAAGATTTTTTTCTCCACCCCCATCCTGCCCCTGGGGCCTTTGCACAGGCTCTTCTGCCTTCCTAAACTGCCTCTCTCTACCCTATCCACCTGAGGAAAAGTCACATTTACTGTGTGCCAGGCGCTGGGCTAAGTCCTACACATGCGTGTCCCCTGAGCTAGGGAGCAGTGAGAGCAGACTCGGTTCAGGTCCTGACTGAGGCGCGCTAGCTGCGTGTGCTTGGGCGAGTTAACCCATGCCTTGGGGCTTCAGCGTTCTCCTCTATAAATGGAGTACAGTACCCACTTCAGAGAACTGCTGTAAAAACAAAATGAATAAATATATAAAAATCACTTAGAACAGCATCGGGCACGTGGTGAATATAGGTGTTTGCTGTGACTGTGCTGTACTTACTTTAGATGATGATGGCATCCCTTTAGATGAGGGTGGCACCCCCTTTAGATGAGGCTCAGCAGGGTGGCATGATCTACTTTCTTACTTGATAGTTAGTGACAGAACCAGGAAAGGATCCCAGGAGGTTTGATTCCTGTGCCTGGGCTTTTTACCCCTATGCTCTTCTGCCCCATACTATGCTGAGCTCAATTGCCACCTCCTCCAGGAAACCTTCCTGGATTTCTCCTCATCTCCATAGGACCCTGTCTGCCCCTCTCTGACAGCTCTAACTACCTTGATTTGTCAAAGTCTGTTAAAGGGCTTTAAAATCCTCCAAGACTGGGGCGCCTGGGTGGCTCAGTAGGTTAAGCATCTGCCTTTGGCTCAGGTCATGATCCTGGGGTCCTGGGATTGAGTCCTACATCAGGCTTCCTGCTCGGTGTAGAGTCTGTTTCTCCTTCTCCCTCTGCCTGTCACTCTGCCTACTTGTGTGTTTTTTCTCTCTCTCTCTGTCAAATAATAAATAAAAATCTTTTTAAAAATGAATGAATGAATAAATAAATAAATAAATAAATAAATAAATAAATAAATAAATAAATAAATAAACTCCTCCAAGACTATGCTGATCAGCCTCCAGATCCCCAGAACATAGGCCAGGCCTGATCTGGAGGAGAAACTCCATGAGAATTTGCTACACAAATGCCCAACAGGTGACAGTGCCTTATCCCCCACCCCACCCATCACCTCCACCTGCCCTGCTGACCTGTAGCTCTCCTTCTCCGAGGGCTCCACAGTGAGATAGTACAGGTCCCTGGAGAGGTGATACGGGTCCCGTCGGGGAGGCCCCCGGGTGCTGACCTTGATGGACCACAGCAGGCCGAGGAGTAGTAGCAGGCTGCCTGTGCCACAGCAGAAGAAGCTGACCGACCTGAGCAGGGGGTTGGGGGCCTCGGGCATGGGGTGCCCAGTGGGTGCAGCTGGCTGGCCAGGCTGAGTAGCTGCATCTCCTTCACTCCACCAAGCAAAGCAGAGGGTCCCAGCTACCAGAAGCACCGTGCCGCTGACTGTCATGCAGTAGCGGAGTGTGGAGGCTGCTCGGCTCACATCACACATCTGAACACAGAAAAGGGCAGAGAGGAATAAAATGGGCCATGAGAGAGGCCTGCGGGGGGGACTGGAGACCCTGTGTGGAGTCCTCCCTAGAGGTCACTGTGTAACCTGGACAGGTCATGTGGCTCCTCTGTGCCTCAGTTCTTCTCATCTGTAAAATGGAGATGATATTCCCAAGTTGGCAGGGTTGTTTCAGAGGTCACAGAGAATGTGTCCCAGGTTCTGAGCACCACGGGTGGGACCCAGCAGGAGCTCAGTTAGTGTGGTTCTGCTCACTCCGGGCTCCCCAGGCCTCACAGGCCCCATCAGCCTGGTGGGTAGGACTCCCTGTGCGCCCCACTCCCCACCCCGGCCCCATCTACTGCAGGCCAGGAGGGAAGGGTGGAACTCTTCCTGGGCCCACAGGGCCTCCAGGGGTGGGACTTGCCGGTTATGCAGTGCCTCACGTCCCTGTCACAATCCCGAGAGGTCACAATCCCAAGAGGTCGATACTTCCTCCATCCAGCAGAGGTAACCACAGACCCAAGGCAGGTAAAGGAACAAGAGTGAAAGGGGGCACTGAGGAGCCCCACGCTCAAATCCACGACATGAAGCCCCTCTGTGCAAAAAGATGACCTCTATGGACTTATTTGTAATGGTCCTACTTTGGAGAAAGCCTCAATGCCCAGCTACAGGGAACTGGTGAGTAGACCATAGCACACCCTCCAGATGGAACATTATTAATGCGTTTGAGAAAACAAGCTTGGCACCAACGTTTAACAACTACAGGGGGACATGCATGTATCTTCCTTTGTTCCGCTTAGTGTGGCAAATGCTGCATGGTGTATTATCTCCATCAGGTCAAGAAAAAAATGCACAGAGAAAACAAAAAACTGGGAAAAAATTTGGCCCCAGATCATGCAGACAGGAAGGGATTAAACCCACATCCATGTCATCTTCAAAGCCAACCTCTAGGCCATTGTACACGTTGTTCTCTCTGTCTGGTCACTTGCCATCATCTCCCTTCAAAGACTCAGCTTGGCCCTCACCCAAGAAGCCTTCACTTACACACCAAGTCCCCAGGGCCTCCTTGGATCACAGCATTTCTGTGTGTTTAACTTCTCCTCTGCTTGTCCTCCCCACCAGACAGTGAGCACCCTGAAGACAGGGTCCATACTGGCCCCACTCACGGCTAGATCCCCCCGGTGCCTAGCACACAGTAGCTGCTCAATACACATTTGTGGGAGAATTTCTCCCTGCCCTTAAATGAGGGAAAGTGGTACTGAGTAAACACCTGCTATGTGCAAAGCCTCCCTCCCAGCTAAGAGGAGCTAGGAGAAAGGAGGGAACACAGGATTCCAGCCATGGAGTGGAGGCCTGGCTCTGGTCCCTCACTCTGCAGCTCTGGGGTAACCTTACCAACTGCCCCAGGCCTGTTCCCTTATCCTTATAAAGGGCAGATTCTTTAACAGGCCTTTAGAAGTTAAAGAGACACAGTGTCCTCTTCCAAAATCCGAGTCAGTGAAAGCAGGGGCTGGGGAACTCAGAGACTCTAGACTTCTGTGATCAACAATGTCTTCCAAATAGGGGCTCACCCAGCCAAGCGTGCTGTGTCCAAATGATGCCCTGCTGCGCAGCCATTCAAAGGCATGCTCCTAGGGAAGCTGAGGGCCATGGTAAAATGTTCAAGATCTAGTAGGTGAATGGGCACCTGGGCGGCTCAGTCAGTTAAGAGGCTGGCTCTTGGTTTTGGCTAAAGTCATGATCTCAGGGTCTTAGGATCGAGCTCCACATCAGGCTCTGCACTTAGCGGGGAATCTGCTTAAGATTCTCTCTCCTTCTTCCCCTATTCCTCCCCCCACTCGTGCTCTCTCTCTCTCTCTCTCTCTCGCAAATAAATAAATAAATCTTTAAAAGAAAGATCTAGTAGGTGAAGCTTTAGACTTCAAATATGTTCCCAAATGTGTTTAAAAACACATGTGTACACGTGAGGAAAAAAAGAGAATGTATACACATGTAACAGAGGTGCTCTAGGAGTGGACCCCAAATCTTTCTGAGCACCCCAGACCACCAGAAGCAAATAGACAAGTGTCATGCATAAATTACCTGCTGTTCTCTTCCTGTGGGTCTGGCTGTGGGGCAAGTGCCTCCTGTCTCTAGCTCAAGGCCTTTGTGTGAAGGGAGGAAAAGAACCTGACTACTCCTCCTCCAAAGTTAGACGACAGCTAGGAGAGGCTGTCAAGAGGACAAGCTGCAGAAATCAGCTTGGAAAAACAATTTAAAAACCCACAGCAAATCAATAAGTTAATAACCCCTCGCCTCTGTATCACAGCACCTCTGCACACTCCCCACGGAGGTGGGTGCTCAGGGCAGGGAAAGAAATTCCTGTTTTGCAAGCGAAGAGACCTAGCTCAAAAAGGTGAAGGACTTTGCTGGAAGCCAGAAACTGCTGTGCTTCTCAACACTTGAGGAACTTGCTCCTGCAAAAGGTAACTTAAGAGGCTCTTAAACGTCTATAAAAGCAATAGTTGCTCGTTGTGAGAAAAAAAGAAAACCGCAGACGAGTATAAAAATACAAAATATGAATCATCATTAATCCTGGCCCTCAATTGATGGGATGAGCACTGGGCGTTATGCTATATGTTGGCAAATTGAACTCCAATAAAAAAAAAAAATCCTGCCCCTCAGAGATGAAGATGATCTGCATGTGGGATGTTCCCTTTCCATTTCTCCCTCGGCCTACATCCATGATGATGGCGGAAGCAGACATGTACTGGGCATTTACATGGGCTGGGAAGCACACAGGGCTTTACAGGTGTCCCCTGACTTAATCCTCACAGCAGCATCATGGAGCTTCGAGGGTGACAGCTTGCCTGAGATCAGTGCCAAATTTGAATCCAGTCCTGGGGTCTGGGGACCTCATCCTGGGGAACCTTCTGTCCCCATCCAGGGCCTTAATTTCATAGCTCCCCCTTCAAGACCCAGTCCAAACACCAACCACCTCCTCCTAGAAGCCTATCTGCTGCTGCTACCCCCAGCTCCCACCCACCAGATAAAGCTCTTCTCTGCACCAGATTTATCACTCTAACTATTGCCATTCTATTAGGTCTGTGACCTTGACGCTCGCTGCTCAGCATCCCCGAGCTCAAATTCTGCGTCCCAGGGAAGGGCAAGCTGTAAAGATGAAGCGACAAGATGGCCAGCCGTCGGCAAAGCTTGGTGACACCGAGCTGGACAGGAATGGACCCTGGCTCTAACACTGGGCAATTTACCTGGCTTCCCCATGCCTCAGCATCCTCTTCTGTAAAGTGGGCGTGCTCACACTGCCCGTGCAGCCAGCAAGAGAACTCCAGGGTGCCACTCTCCTGTAGGAGCTAAGCCACCTGAACAGGAAGTGGTGCAAACCATCCCAATCAAGTGCCCAGTAAGCTGAGGCCCTGCCCGCCATGCCCGAGGCCACCCGGCTTGTTAGAACACAGGAAGGGGCCCGGGTGTCCCCTCCGCACCGCCTGGCCACGTAGTCAAGGTGAAGAGAAGGGGTTGGGGCTGGGGCCGCGTTAGGAGGAGCCTAGATGCTCCGGAAGGAGGGAAAGAGGTAAAAGCAGCCCACACCCACCTCGGAGCAAGCCATCAGGCGGCGGGTGGCGGCGCGGTCCCGGCTCGGCTGCCCCCCCGGGCCGCAGGAGGCTCCCGGCCCTAGGGAGCGGCCCCCGCGTTGGTGCCCGCGCCCGGCCCTCGCGCCCCCTGCACGCGCCAAGGTCCCGGTGCAGGGCTGTCCGGTGGCCCGGCCCGCAGCCGCCGGGCGTCGCCTTGGCTCACCCCGCGCGCCCCGGGGCTGCGATCCCCGCGGGGGCCCTGCGTGCTCGGGGGCGCTCGGGGGCGCTCGGGGGCGCTCGGGGGCGCTCGGGGCCGAGGGCCGTGCGGAGCCCGCCTCCCCCCCGCTTCTGCTCGGGCCGGGGCCGCTGTCCGCCCCGCCTCGCCCCCGATCCCGGGCCGGTCTGTCCGCGGAGACGCCCGGTGGCCTGGGTGGGGCGCCCCAGGTGCCGCCCTCAAGGCGGCAGCGCGAGCCGGAGGGCGGGGCTGAGGGTTCCCGGCCCCGGAGCGGCGGGGCCCTGGTGGGTGGCGGCGAAGTCCCGGCCCGCTGCCCTGCGGGGCAGGCTGGAGCCCACGCCCACGCCCACGCCGCCCCCTCCCAGAGCCCCGATGCTCCTCCGAGGGGGCCCTGTGCATGCTGAGCCCATGCCTCCTCGCTCTCGTCCTACAGGAAGAGAAACTGAGGCCCAAAGAGGGTTTGCCGAGTACTTGCTGGGAGTAACTGGCTTTTGCTTCTCAGAGGACCCCTCTTAGAGCAAGCCCTGCCTCCAGGACCTCACGTTCAGCGCTTCCCCCAGCCCCTATAGGAGGCCGCAGCCCCAGCCCTGAGAGGCTGGCAACAGGGGGGCTCGGGAGCAGGGACCCCATCTACTGTGTCACCTAACCTCTCTAGGTTACCTCACCTAACCTTCCTCCTGTGTCAAAGGAGGGCTGATGATTCCAAGTCACAGGTCTTCAGGGACTGAATGAGTTCAGCTGTGCAGAACAGTGCGAGGCCATTTAACAACTGCAGGTTAAAGGCAGTTTGGGGGGGGGACAGGTGATTTAGGAGTCTGCCCAAAGGGTGAGCGCTGCCTGAGTGGCCAAGTCTTCTGTGGGAGGACTCCTGAGCTGTCCTGGGGGTGTGTGTCAGGGGGGCAAGGGGAAATGGGGAGCAGCATCCAGGCTGAAGGAGCAGCCTATGCAAGCCAGGTCGAAATCACAGGCTGGTTAAACCTTCACAAAATTCAGGTAGGTCAAAAGGAGCCAGTTCCTGGACTAGCTAGGCTCTGGGTTTTGTTTCTGTCTTTTCCTGCTGCTCCAACAAGCCAGGAGACTGGGCCAGACTCCCCTTAAACCACAGCTATGGCTTCCTCACTGAGCTGGTGGTGACCAACTGTCCTCCCAGCCCAGGGACACGGAAGGTCAGAGCAGCCTGTCCAGTTGAGATC